ACGGTTGTTACTCCGAATCCATGTCCTGACCTGGTCAGAGTTAAGCTTACTGAAGGATGCACACTGGCTTAGATAATGCTCAGTCTGATCACAGAATGGACAATACCGTTTCACTTTAGAAGGTTTAGTTTGTGAAACGGGACCCTTGCGAGAGATGGGAGTCTCAACTGGGGGTTCTTTAACCCCATGCAGGATGGTCACAGTTCTCTTTCCAGAGTCTTGCTTAGCGTGAAAGACTTTAGACATCGGCTCGGCATCGTAGCTGTGGCACCATGTTTCGTAACGGAGCCAGTTCGAAAGGTCAACTAGATTAGGGGTCATGCCAGGTTGGTGGAACATATGGCGACGGAAGTCAGCACGCAGCTCAGGTGGAAGCTTACTAAGAAGTCGCGCAACATGGGACCCACAACTTAGCTCCAGTTCACCATCGCGTCCCAAGGTTCTCAGTAGTCCCACTAGTGACTGTACCTGGAGAGCGAACCTCTGGAAGGCAGATATATCACCTCGCTTGATGTCAGGACTCTCAAGAACAACAGCGATCCTCCTTAAGGCAAGTTGATGCGGTTGACCAAACTTCTCATGAAGTGCAGTCATTGTATCAGTGAATGGGGTAAGGGAGTTCAGATAAGCGTCCGCTATCATTCTAGCCTCCTCAAGCTTGAGATGATCCACTAAGATCTGGTATTTGAAAAGTTCTGTCCCGTCAGGAGGGAGCAGGTTCTCTAAAGCAATCCGGAGTCTGGCAAACTCACCAGGATCAGGCCGGCTAAACTTAGGAATGGTAGGGGTAGGTCCTCTGTACACATATTCAGACATAGATACTGCAAGAGGTTGATTGGGTTCTACCTTCATCGCTAGATTTGGAGGAATCGAATAAGCAGGCATAGAGCTGAACCGTGAGGAGATAGGTACCGACGTGCGGTTGGCAGGTAAAGGCATGGCCGCAGGTGTTAGCAGCTCTTGAAGCTCTTTAGGAGTAGGAGGAGGGGGAAATCGCCAGACATCAGGAGCATAAGGTTTAGGAGGGCGTGACTGAGTAGCTGGGGATACAAAGGGATAATTTCTGGTCTCTGGCATCACAGGTAGGTGAATTGTGGCACCCGTATCAGACAAAGCAAGGGCATCCACCCGGGCTCTCAGCTCAACGTCAGGCTCAGGCCACGGGGGTGGGGGAAGCTCAGCGAAGTGTCCATCCTCCACTAAGTTTGTAGATTCAGCTGGCCTCAGGGGGCTGGATAACTGAGACGCTGTCAGCTGTGCTGGCGATAGGTTCTCTCCTCTAGCTTTACTGAGATCGACTCGAAGGGACTGAGCCACCTGTACTAATTCTCTAACTTCAGCACGGACTTCTCTCAACTCCCTTAAGTCAGCCTGGAAAGCCTGATGTGTCTGCATTAGTTGTGCATGCTCCTGGCGCAAATGCTGTCGCTCACGGTCATGTGCAGAGGTAGTGAAATCAGCTGCCGAAGGCGACGAGAAGGAACGCTGAGGACATACAACATGCTGTGGAGGCAGATAATTCGAGGACATGATCTGTGATCCACCAGAACATATCAGGTCACCATCAGGGGCAATGGCGTAGGTCTGGAAGGATGAGGGGGGAGTCCGTTGGGCAGGTGCCTCCCAGGTTTGTGGAACATCATGATCAGCGACAGGTCTGCCTCGTGTATAATGTACCTCATATTGCTGTAGGTAAGCTGGAGGACGAGTATGGCGCTTAGGGCGAGTTCCTCCAAGCATCTCCTCATCAGAGTCCATAACTTCAGAGGGGAATACTCAATCCGGCTCGAAGGACCAATTTGTTGGAGAGGCTTTGGACTGTTAGGTTTGGATTAGGTGATGGATGAGTAAACCCTTCTGGGTGCCGGTAAGAGCACAAATAATGAGGAGACAGGTGATCAGATTAACTTGGTGTATTGTAGGTAGATGGATGGATCACAACTGTATATTCAATGATGTACATAGTCTGGAAAATAAGTACAATAAAGAGAATGAATAAACTAAATACAATAATAAGCATTCACTGTTAAATAATTAAATAATTATCCTCAATACTCATCATTGACATTTTTCTACTTAACATCCAGTTGAATAAACAGAAACATGGTATTAAACAGGAAAATACACACTATAAGGGCAATTTGTCCTCAATAACATACAATGCCCATATATGGGTAACCGCATGGCTCATATGCATTACATACAAACAGACATGACGCTGATCGTCTAGTATTGGAACATATTAACAGACCGACTAACATCCCCTCATTAATAACCCATAACATTGATATGGCGCTTAATAAAGAATGAATCGTCACACTCAAGTAATAGCCTATTACTAAATACTAGCATATTACTGATCTGGATAACACAGAACGATCTATACAGGACATGTCCGGACATGCACTTATGTCACGGACGCTTAACTCTATTCAGATCAAGTTACACAACTGAAAATCAACATAAATATAATCAAATTGACTTACTTTAAGGGCAATGACTAACATCATAATATTACAGTTGCACCAATCACCCCGAACGAACAGGAATCAGCAACTTTACAGCTGACAGCTCTCACAGATCACCTACACACAGCAGATAGCGGCAGTTGCACTGACGACTGTACACTGTTCTGCATGTTACCATGACTACGGTTTCAGAATAAAAGTCCCGACTAAATGCGGTTTCAGAATAAAAGTCCCGACTGAATGAGCCTTTAATACAGTAAAGCTGCACTGACTATTGCTGCGTCCCAATTCAGAGGCTGCATCCTTCGAAGGCCACATTCGAAGGCCAAATGCGGCCTCCAAATGTGTCCTTTGTTTCCCGTGCAATGAAGGATACAACAGATGGATACTTCACAGCCTTGCCTCTCCCAGAATTCATAGCGTGCTAGTGACGACAGGATTTATTTGAGAGAAATTGCCAAATTAAACTTTTAAACTTTTAAAGTATTTGGTTTCAACTTACTCAAATGTAAAAAACAACAACCTTTAAAGCAGTTCAAAAGTTGACATATCTTACTAAGAGGTATTTGTATATAGTTTATACTCTTTTACGTTTTGTTTTCAGACAGTTTAATGTAACTTTCAAAAACGTCTAGAACAAACGTTACCGTCACTCATCAACGGCAGCTGTCACAAGCTACGTTTCCATCCAAACGTGAAGCGAATCGTTTCAAAGTTCGCAAATAAACAAAAAACAAAAGCGAATTAGCTGCGTTTCAATCAAGTTGTTAGAGCAGATGACGGTGGTATTGGTGACCTAGTAACCAACAATAAATAAAACACCATCAGTGGAAACAGCCGATAAGGCAAGTGGGTTTAATGTTCGCTACGTCAGAATTTATTAGGCCAATGTGTTTCCATCTCCCATTATTTGCATTAACTCTTTTTCGCACAAGTCAAAAACTTTTAGCGAATTAAGGGATCTTTTCCCCTCGAAATTTGGCATTTCCATCACTCGTTTATGATGCGATCCTTAAAAATGCACATAAAAACAGAGTAATGAAAACATAGCTTCAGTTTCTCTAGGCGACAAGAAGAGTCCTCCGTAGGCTAGACCGCCCCATTTTACAACGCCCACTCAGACCTTCGAACAGGCCCGTCGTCAAGGGTGGGGCATTGGGGGGCAGTGCCCCCCCAAATGACTTATTTGTGCCCCCCTAATCATTCAATATTAAATGTCTACGGTTGTGATTATTTTCACTTTCTCACCAAGTTGTTTCAGCAGAACTTATCTCACAGGAACAGTAATCTCTCAACGGTAGAAATGCATAACACATTATCTTCAGAAATGATTCAGAAAATTCATTATTCAACGCATATGCTCAGACACAAAGGAGCGATTTTTATTATTATACAAGCGAGACGTTTAGAAGATGTCTTTAAGATGTAATGATTTAGAATGTATGTTAAACTGACATCTTAAAGATGTCTATTAGATGTTAATAAACAGCAGATGTTTTCAGATGAAGTGATCTTTAACAGACATCTTGCAGACGTACGTGTGCTATCTGGATTACACAGAACGTAACTTGAAATATAATTATATTCATAAATGACTGTTAAAACATCCCAAAACAGCATCCAAACCTTGCAAAGACCTACCTCAATTATTCAAATACAACAGCCAATGGCAAGTCTCCAGCAGCAGACCTTTCAATATGTTATTTTTGTGTTGGTAGTTTTATTTATTCAAATTACAATATGCAGTTTGTGTGTAAGTATATCTATCATATAAATCATGGAATTCATTTAGTTAAGCATACCGTATTGTTTATACGCAATTCCTTTGCGCTGCTGCGCATTGCATGCGATCTCAGAATCAAATTTTGGCGGTTTTGTAGGCCTACTACAGCAAAGCTATGGATATAAGAAAGTGGTTTAAAGATTCGTCTTTGACAAAGACGACTTTGACCAACAACAACGTGTGTGGAGACGACTCTGGAGCTAATGAGATGGTAGGAATGGAGAATTTGTCTAATGAGGCAAAAGTTCACAGCGTAGACAGAGCAGCGGGTGTAATTATGAATGGGCCTACTACTAGTGACGTGGCCGCCGTCGCTGTGACTGGGCCAAAGCTGCAGGCCATTTATGATCTTGGAAATGAAGGACCGAATCAGATCATTTTACAGCGATACCCTGCTCGCTTGTATAATAATAAAAATCGCTCCTTTGTGTCTTTATGGTATCAGACTCCTGACTGGCTTGAATATAGTGTCAAAGCTGATGCAGCATTCTGCTATAGGCTACTAGCTAAATGTGGAAATGTTAAGAGAAAATAGAGACGTGGAGATCATACGGTGAAGTACTTTATTTGAATAATTGAACAAAACAAGACTATTGTGGTCTATTTTAGTTATAGCCTAATATGGGTTGTTTTGGTCTATCTCAGATCATTAAAAAAAGTACCCCCCTATGAAAATTAAATGCCCCCCCCCCCCATTTGGTTTGTTCTGGCTACGGCCCTGCCTTCAAAGGATGCAGCCTTTGTCAGTGTTTGTGATCAGAAGCTTGATGGACGTTTCTCATCTCCTCATCCTTTTCAGCAAACCAACAGCTCCTCCAAACAGACCCCCCACAGCACCACCCACAGACGCCACACCAGCTGTTGCAGCTGCAGACAGTCCCGCAGCACCTGAGAGAGAGAACAAAACACCTAATGACATCAATAACCCAAAGCCTTGCAGCAGAATGACGCATAAAACAGGTGTAGTAGCTTCCAATCTTGTAATTACAATACAAAAACATTCCATGTATATTAACCAGGTACTATTATTTCATAAAAATTCAGTTTAGCTAATCATTTTCAATAGTTTATTCAAATGTTTTTTTGTTCTCTTTTCTTAAGGCATTTACAGTCTTAATAAAGGTTTGGTAAACCACTCCCTTTGAACTTTTAATAAAAAAATACCTGCAGACTGGAGTACTGCGACCAAACTCCCCGCAGCCACTCCTCCCCCGCTGCCGACGGCTGCTGTTGACATCATGCCAGCTCCCACCGAACCGGCCGCGATCCCGGCACCGGTGAACCCAGCCATGGCGAGCGCAAACGGGGTCAAAGCAACGGCACCAGCTAACCAACGTGAAAATAAATAGAGAGAAAAAAGCATTTATCATTTAAATTATTGTTCTAACAAGCATTTTTTTATATGAACCCTGCTGATTTTGTTTTTAAACCGGTCTAGAATAAGTACTTACCAGCCCCAGCTGTAACCGCAATGACTGTGCCAGCTAAAAATTGAAATATAAAGGATTTAAAAACAAACGACGGAAAACAGAGGTACATTTGTTTTGTGTCGTTTACCGGTACGTGTTACTCACCGTTCGGAAAACCCATGCTTTCGAAAAGTTTACTTTACTTTAAACTACACCGTGACAACAGTAGAATGATTTCTCACACACACTTGAAGACCAAACGCGTACATAAATGTAGGCTTTTTCTTCTTCTTGGTGTTTTATAGCAGTTGGCATCCAAAAAGTTGCATTACTGCCAGCTGCTGTCTATCAGCGTGTACTTCTTCTACTTCTTGCAAATGAAGGTGGTTTTGAGCTTTTGTATTTTCCCCCATTTAAATTACACATTTAAAGTAAAATGGCTCATGAATTGTTTTACTTAAATCGGACTCAATATGGTTATTTATACCATACAATATTTTTTTTAAAAGGTTGGAGGTTTGCGTTTTTTTGTTATTTTAGTTATAACTGCCCGTGGCATTATCCAACTTCTATCAACAAGCTCTTAAGGCCTGGAAGTTATGTTGTGTACATAACTTTTCCCCACATAAAGCAATGCTAATATTACAGTTACAATAACATTAAAATACTACAATAACCAGAAATCTCTTTATTTACAGAGTTGGATGGATAAATGAATTTACTTTCTATCTGACCTTTTTGATCAGTCAGCTCAGTTTCATTCTTATGAAAATGTTATGAATAAATGGTAATTTCCTATTAAATATAGAGAATATTATTATGTGATAAAAGCCATTCCACGTTTATTGGTGTTAATGAAAAGCCTTTTCTGGTTGTAATTGTGAAATAACATCAAAAGATGTTAATACATATTTTGAATCAAGATATACTTCTGTATGATGAACCTTATGATCTTATTTGGTAAATTTTATATTCACAAAAGTAAAAGAAATAATTTTAAACCTTGTGTGAAGGCTTTTATGACTGACTTTCATTTGAGTCTCTCCAATGTATTGATGACAGAAAATTTAGAGATACAGTCGTATTCGTTAAAGTTGAAGCTTCTTGAAATTTTATATGCTGTCTTCTTTCTTTAAGTAATAATCAATGATTTATTTTGTTAATTAAGGATAAAAAGGTATCTTATGTAATAAATAATCTGTTGCTTTTACTGAAATTCTACATACACAAATGTACATTTTTCAAAATTCCTCCATGATTATTGTTTTTTAAAGAGGAATTTATAATATATTTGTACTCTTTATTGGAAGACTTTGGTTTAAAAACAAACAAACAAACAAACAAACAAACAAACAAACAAACAAACAAACAAAAAAACTCCTTCTCCCTTACTTTTCTTTTCTTTCTTTCTTTCTTTCTTTTTTTAAAGAAGTCTTAACTCACTTATTGTGTATAATGTGATAATGTGACATTTGATTGCAATCTCAGTCTTTGTTTGTTAATCTCTCAGTTATGACTGCCTTTCTGTTATTGTTCAACAAGTAGGCTATATGAATTAAAAAAATATATATATATTTATTTGTTTATTTTCTTTATTTTTATTTAAATCAATATTATTGTATATTTGCATAATGTTTTCTTCTTTCTTTTCTTTTTCTTTATGTATTGTAAACACAATATTTTTAGTTACCATGTTTTTGGGATGTCATGTTATATAAATAGTTGTAAATGTTTCATATTTGTCAAAAAAAAGAAGAAAAACAAAGCCTTCTTCTTGTAGGATTCCGGGAGTATAGAAGCTGCTAAGCGTATTACTGCCCTCCACAGGTCAACGTTTGTATGTATGTATGAATATCTACGATGAATATCTATTTTTTTAAAATACATTTTTATTGATTTTAAATAATTACAACTAGGCTACAGTCAAGGGGGGCACACAAAAAAAGAGACAAATATATAAAGAAACAGTGACAAACTTAAAATTTAAACAAAAATGTGAAGTTGCTTACAGATTGAAACACACTTTGCAGCTTTCTTATTTTTCAAACCCAACGTGTTTAGGTATTGTTGAATTTCTGATCTTAAAATTAAAAACAAAGGCTTATTTCCTCCAAATTTACATTTATTAATACTAAATTTAACTAAAAGAAGTAGCAGGTTAATTAAGTAATATATTACCTAATGATAAGATTTGTCATAAGAGAAAAAAACAAATAACACATTTTTTAAAGCACAGTTGAAAGCTGGGCATGATATGAGCCTTAATAAAGGAACAGAGATCTGACCAAAAACAAACTGAATGAGGACAGCTCCAAAATAAATGATAAAATGTTACATCATGTAGACCACAAAATGTATCAATATCACAATTAAATCTGTTCACAAGATAATAATTACATGGGTAATATTTCTAAATGAGTTTAAGTGAAATTTCTTTGATTTTGTTTGTGATTAGATATTTTTGAGGAAGTTTCTAGATTTTATTCCATGTATGAATATCTAATGAGGCGGTCTAATGAGGAATCTACGTATGCATATCTATACACGTCTATGAGTAAAAAGCACATCTGAATGGAACTGACTAGAGCTAAAGCAGAAACTTAGAGCATGTACTAATATATTGTACTGCTTATGAAAATAAAAGGGTGGAAAAAATGGAGAGAAATGGGTATAGGAAAACACTGCTGAATAATGGCTTGAATCATCATAAAACATATAATGCATTAATGAGTTACTTAAGAAATGTAGATCTGTTTAATAGGATTTAGAAGTTTATTTATTTATTTAGTCCTTCCTATTCCATCAATGGTCCACCTTCCAGCCCAGTAGGTGGCGGGAAAGCACCTATCGTTTGTTTGCCAACCGCCATAAAACGCCAAAAGAAGAAGAAGCCCACAGCTAGGTCACACTGCCCCCTGCCGACATATCCAGCACATCACGACGAGTTGTTTGCTGGCTCAGAGGGTCAACAGGAAGTACTACTTGTGTCCCACCGCAGTTCTCAAGCGGAAAAGGTTGTGGCATTAACGACAACAGCAACCCATATGGCGTCCCAACACCGTAAGCGATAATACTATTCCTTCTCCAATTATGCGCGGGCTCTTCGATCACAGTGACAAACGCGGTGAGTGTTTTATCTTGCATCTCGCGCGGAGTGGGCGTGCACGCTCCTCGTCCGTTAAGCGCGAGGCCTTCGTGCACGCGACGCAACTCCAGACTCGAGGCGAGTTTGTGCAAAAACCGCGTTGATTGTGGCGGTAACTTTATATGCACTCTTATGGGGTATTGTCGAACTCACGCTGTTGATTAAAGTGGCTTTATTTCGGACCCGTAAGCGCGTGAGATACACGAAGGCTGGTTGCTAAAGGCCCCCTGGTGCTCGCGGAATCGGTTGTGTGTTTGTTTTGTGAGGTTTTTTGAAGCCCTGCGTTGCCTAAACGACGAAAGCATCTTTTGCACAAGCTGAAGCGGCTTCTTAAAGCTGTCTTGTCTGTTCATAGAGGGTCAAACAATGTGCGAGCTGTTCAAGGCCGCATGCGCTAGCTGTCTGTGCACGTGAGCCGACCTTTAGCCAAAATATAAACACCAGTGGCCCTTACCAGTCTACCCCGAATGCCTGTGAATAAGACTTTAAAAGGTTTCATTCGAAAGGCAACATTCGGCACTCTTGCAGTTTCAAAGTGTTTGTATTCTATTCTTTAACAGTTGCCATTATCTATTTGCTTGCTCTTCTTATTTATTGACAAGCAGTTCTGTGGTTGTTGTTACAGGTAACGTTAGGGGAGAGCGGGACTAGTTGTCACTTTTTACTCCAGTGAATATTTCTGTATATAAAGTTTGTATATAAGCACATACTTTGTTTACTTAATTATTGTTTTTTTTAAAGATGATTCGAGTTTTGTGGCATTTAAAATGACCTTTTAAAAGCAGCTGAAGTAAGGGGGAATTATACGTGTGTATATATACAGTACTGTGCAAAGTAATAGGCACTGGCACGTTAAATGGTTTTAAGTCAGTTATTTATATCTTTTTGGTGTAGTGTGTCAGTAGGAAATATCAGTTTATATTTCCAAACATTCCTTTTGCCATTAATTGTTGTAATCCAGCGATACTTTTGTATGCACAAGGAGTCTGACAACAGCCGGAGCTCCACACAGAGATCTGATCTCAACATCAACGAGTTCATCTGTGATTACATGAAGAAACAGAAAAAACAAACAGACTAAATCCAGAAGAACTGTGGCTGTGTCTCAAAGACACTTGAAGAAACCTACCTGTAAAACTATGTGCAAGTGTACCTGGACAAAAGCTGTTAAACGCAAAGGGTGGCCACACCAAATATTGATTTGATTTAGTTAACAGAAATTAATTGATAAATAAAATCTATTTATGAGGCATAAAAAATAAAAAGTTTGGTTCTGGTTGGTTGTCAGTTGGGGTCATGGGTAGGGTATTTTTTTTTTTTTTTTTTTTTTTTTTTTTTTTAGTGGCAGCAAGGGATAGGTAGGAAATTAATCAGGGCTCGACGTTAAGCCTTTTCATGTGACAAATCTGTCATTCACTTGTCCGAGTAAAAAAGTTGCTTGTCCGGATTTTTTATTCTGAAACAATATTCTCATCAGTGTTCAATCAGCTTTGATATTTAAAACCCTAAATTCTAAATAATTGAATTTATTGATCTAATTTAGGAATTTAAAATTAAAGATGAAGCATACTATTACCCTAGGTAGGGCTGATCAAATTAAATCATTTACACTGAAAAATTACAATTGCATAAAATAATGTTATGAAATTGATTTAAATGTACAAATAAGAAACATTGGAATTATACTAGGCTACTTAGAAACATAACACTGTGGTAGACAGCAGAAGAGGGGATTGGGATCATGATTGGGATTTGGGATGATTTTTAATGAAACTTGGGAGGTGGATGGAGGTTACTCTTTAACGTATCAGTATGTGGTGTGTGTATGTGTGCGTGCCTATGAATGCATGCATTTGTATGTGTGCGTATATGAATAAAAGTGTCCTAAATGAAAAAAAAAGACTTGTATAATATGTATTATAGTTCAGTTTGACGAACGAGACGGTGAACGATCGTCTAGCTGCCTCGTTTGTTAATAGCATTGCTGGAGGACAACAGGCATCTTGCATCGCGTGCTATAAAACGTAAATTATAGTTCGCCTCAAAGTTTT